CAGGTCTTCGAAAGATCGGTGGCAGTGTGAAAACACGGGCCTCGTCTGGCGATGCGGGGTGCTCAGAGTAGCGGGGGGACAAAGGACGGAGGGGTGCGTAACAAAAAGCGGTCGGGGAGAGCAGCAACTATAGGGGCGCGAAGGCAGAATCGGCGTTTAACAATAAGAATGAATGGGCACCTCGCCGATGCCTGATTGGTGGTCGAAATCGGTTTCCTAGGAAGTCGGCAGACCGCTGACTCCGTTCGCTGTAACCGATCAGCGACGCTCCGAGACGTTCGTTGTAAGTGTGATTTTGTGCCATTGAACCAATGTATATTTTGCTGGTCACGCAGATACTGTTTGTTTTAAACGAAAGTTTGCTTTAAGTGGGGCCGTTATATGTGGGCTCGACTGTAGAACTCTGTAACTCAGTGAAAAGCTTGTTTCTTTGAAATGAGCTGAGCTTCTTGTGCTTCGAATGCTAGTCTGCACAGGAACTTTGCTAGGAGCTATACTTTGGCGCATGAAATGCACAGGAGCACAGCAAAGTGCGAGCATTATCGGAATCAATTGAAGTGTGAAAGTGTGAGCAGTGGACTGTGCACACGGCCAGCACAATCGTCTGCTGCCGTCATCTGCGATGGGCAGTCTATAGTTTTGTGTTTGTTTCCTTTTGATTTGGCTGCTGGAATGCCACCGCTATGCTTTTTACTGAGATCTTTTAGCCCAGCGCTTTCTCTGGGGAAAGCGGCTGTCACCCACATGCAAGAAGCGAATGCTCGCAGCTTCCCGACAGAGTTTTCATGGTGCTTCCCATCGAGATAACGCAGTCGAACTTCCACATCGACGCCTTGAAATGTTTCTTGTGCGAGCGGTGAATACGGTTGGGGAACTTGAGCCGGAGGCAGCGAATCTGTAACCTTGGCGGACTGCCTCTGTTAACAGGCCAAGCACGTGCGTTGGAGTCCTGTTGTGCCCGAGTAACATCAGTCACCTTGGGACACTTTTGTTTAAATATACAAGTACGTATTGTAGACGTGGTTTTGTTTGCAGTTACTTTGAACACACAGAAAGTGCAAACAATTTCTGCTATGTCTGCACTTCTGATATTCCGTGTTAGCAAGTGGCTGCGATGACAGCAAAGCACGGATAAAATAGCGACGCTCCAATGCACATGCGTGGAAGTTACGCTCGGCTGTATCGCAATCTATCCGCCCGAGGACATGAAAATGAGCTCTCTTCGCCACGGAACACACTGGACTGTGCATGCTTGCTTGCTATTTAATCCTGCACTCATGGCCATTCCCGAGACCAAATCATTTCGAAATTGCCGTCCTCATGCCCACAGCTATTTCAGTGCTGCTTGCCTTTTAAGAAACTGAATTACAGGCCTTCACTGAAGTACAGGCCTTGGTGGGCAGGAAGTCTGATCTACAATGATTGATTGATATATGAAATTAAACGTCTCAAAACCACCATATAATTATGAGACACGCAGTGCGATCTACAATTTACTGTTGCCTATTTTCGCGCAAGAACATTATTTGCCAGGCCGTAACTGCAAGTGAAACCACATTTTGCAACATGTTTTTATTGATTGTGAAAGCTGATGTGCAAGGATAACTGGGGAAAGTTTGAGAAATATCGATAGGGTGCTTTTTTAAATTACCATCAGAAGTTTCCCTTGCATGCTGTTTTTTTGAAGTTATTGCAATTATAACTATTTATTGAAGAGTGTTGTTATAAATAGATTGATTTGTGGGGTTTAACGTCCCAAAACCACCATATGATTATGAGAGACGCTGTAGTGGAGGACTCCGGGAATTTTGACCACGTGAGGTTCTTTAACGTGCAACCAAATCTGAGCACACAAGCCTACGACATTTCCGCCTTGTTGTTATAAAGAGCTTTGGCGGTTTTACAAATAAGCATGCTGAGAAAGTAGTGCGGAATTTTCACCTCTCTGTCATAAGCCCTTTTTGAAATAAAAGCCCGCAAATTAGGCAAAGAAACGTTTTCTGGGTCGATTTTGGGATTTAAAAAAAATACCTCAACCACCCAGAGAAACAGAAAACAACTGAACGTAAGCACAAATACTCCTATATTTGGCTAAACAAGTTTGAAGTACGTAGCTTTAATTATATTTGGGTAATTCATCGCTAAAGTGAAAAAGAACAGCAGAGCAGGGAAGCATGCCATTCCACCTCTTTGACATTATTGAATTACTGCGTTTCCAGAAAAATTTTACAGCGAAAACAATTGCAGATCTCTTCTTTCCACTCATCAGACAACAATATATCCAATATTGAAAGAAATTTAAGAGGTCGACCGGCCATGCTTTGTTCGATCTTGTGTGGTACCCTGCTACTGCGGACTTTATACTGGTCCAAGCAGGGTGAGGACAAACAGAAGAAGAAGAAAAAGAAAAAACAAAGCAAACGTAAACATAGTTGTTATAATTTGAATGAATTACAATGCAATGGAATGCAACAAATAATTATTCGAGTCTGTTACAGTTAGCCAAAAAACTTAAACAAGTCTGTTTGCGTAAAATATGGTTTAGGACAATGGTGGCAAGTATATCTTAACATTGAAAATGAAAACATGGTTAATTAAGGATTACTTGCTAGTTTCTAATTTCAAAGCAAATAAAGAACTGTAAATGTGCAGTTTTTTTTTGTGCGAGGCATGGAATGCTGCTAGCCTGTTTTGAGGATGACTTATACAGAGAAAATTTTGAATAAATAAGTAATAAGTAAGTCATGTCACCTGAACACTTTGAGGCCATACTTATGCTAACAACATGGTGTTGCAGCCACCATTTTTAGAATAGAAAGTATGGGTTTAGGGTCTACACTCTTGCAGTTAAAAATCTAAAACACATGAGAAGTAAGTACTGCAGGGCTAGTTGGTGGTGCGCAAAAGAAGAATAACACAGAGAAAGGAACATAGCGCCATGTTTCGTGTTCATTTCTCTGTGTTGTCCTTATTTTTGTGAGGCTAATATGGCAGTTAGATTGTGAGGCTAACATGACAGTTTAGCAAGGCCAACAGGCATGTGAGGCCATCATGGCCACTCCCATGGCCACAGGGATCGGTTTAGAAAGCCAGTTAGTGACATAACAGACAGATATTAAATGGAAATAACAACTGAGGTTTTACGTCCCAAAACCACAATATGATTATGAGAGACACTGCTGTGGTGTGTCATTGAAGATTGATGTATCATGGTTGTGCAGTTGTGATTGATTTTATGACAAAACCACTGTAAAAAATATTGGCTACCAGATGAGCTTGAGCACAATTGTTATTGCAAGAAGTGATACCAACACTAAGCGCAAATTTATATAAGTACATTAAAGCTATATTTCCATATCAAACTATGGCATAAAGAGTTAAGAAATATATACCCAAAAAACTTTTGTTGCCTATTCGCAAAATAGTTACGCTATGTAAACATGAAGAGAGCAACTTTCTCACCTTAAGGTTGGGCAGGTGTTTGGGGTCTGTGACAATCTGGCCTGTGATGTCCATTTGGTTGAAGAAGCGGAACACTATGACCCGCACATTTGTCAGGTCGGCGTTGGTTACCTGAAATGGTTGAAGTGGTAGAGAAATTTAACAATGACTACCGAATGTAAGTAAAGCATAAATTATGTGCTGTGAGAGGTGAGATGAAGTTTAAGATGGAGTGCAAGGGTGTTGGGTGCAAATCTCGGAGGCCGTGTGTGGTTGATGGTGGAAGAACGAGACGATGCGAGTGTTGGGTGAACAGAAGGGGGCGCAGGAAGATGGCAGGACAGAGACGAGGGTATGAGCGAAGAAGTCGGACATGTTGAATGTTGGTGTGGAGAAGAAAGGATGTCTAGAATGTGTAGTGAACATGTGGGTCGTGAAGTATATTGTCGAGTCCGCCAAGTGGGGGCTTGTCGGGGATCGACATGGCTACAGAGATTGACGTGGTGAATGTGCCAAAGGAGCTTCAGACAAATGGCTCCGCTATACAGCATAAGTACAAATCGCGGGGGCCATCAGACAAAGGCTCTTGATGGCCAAGCCCACGCCTGCAGGCCCCATGACGGCGGCATTCTGACCGACAGCTGACTGCACTCTGCCGTCCTTGGGGAAGTCAACAACCGAGGTTCACGGCATTCAGCAACATGCAGTCACCAGAGGAATTCTTGGATCAGCTAGAAACCTTTTGCCTGGTGACTGGTGTCGGTGCCGAAAAAAAGCTTAGTCACGTTGTGCCTGTTGCAATGGAGGGTAGCGCAAAGTTGTGGCTGTGCTTCGTCAAATTTTTCTCTTTTTGAGATGAGTTCAAGGCGTCTTTCATCACAGAATTTTCTTCGATTGACGCAAAGCAGCGCCTTGAACAAGAACTTGAGCTCTGCACTCAGCACCTGGAAGAGAACTTGAGGGAGTTCATCTACACAATTGCAGAGTACTATGGGAGGATTGGCAGCGAAGTGCTGGAATCTAAAAAGGTTGACCGTGTGTTGCGGAAAATGCACCCACATCTGCAAGGTTTCGAAGGGTAGGCCGTTTGCCAGTCTTGCGGAGCTGGCAAAAGCAGCAGGAGGCCTCATAAAGCGTTATTAGAGGCGGTTCCAGCACAAGCCATCAACACCTCCAGCCGATCTAGTTGCATGGCACCTTGCTTTCCAGTCAGCTGTAAATGTGACCAGCCTGTCGGGAGCGGCCCTAGAGGAATCATGGCAGCGGCTGCCGCACCCTTCCAGTATCGGGCAGCAGAAGCTTACTGGCCATTGCGCGCCCGCAGCAATACAGCCGTCCTACCACCGAGACCATTTACACAGGTCGTGCGCTTCTATTAGAAGGCCTCATTTCTCAGCACCGCCACAGTCGCAAGAATATCAACCGCTGGACTCCGGTGGAATTACCTGCCATCACTGCAGAGGTGTTGGTGACATTGCCCGCGAGTGCCCTTCGGGTCGGCGTAGCAGCCCGCTCCGCTGCTACCCATGCAACAGACATGAAGAGAGCAACTTTCTCACCTTAAGGTTGGGCAGGTGTTTGGGGTCTGTGACAATCTGGCCTGTGATGTCCATTTGGTTGAAGAAGCGGAACACTATGACCCGCACATTTGTCAGGTCGGCGTTGGTTACCTGAAATGGTTGAAGTGGTAGAGAAATTAACAATGACTACCGAATGTAAGTAAAGCATAAATTATGTGCTGTGAGAGGTGAGATGAAGTTTAAGATGGAGTGCAAGGGTGTTGGGTGCAAATCTCGGAGGCCGTGTGTGGTTGATGGTGGAAGAACGAGACGATGCGAGTGTTGGGTGAACAGAAGGGGGCGCAGGAAGATGGCAGGACAGAGACGAGGGTATGAGCGAAGAAGTCGGACATGTTGAATGTTGGTGTGGAGAAGAAAGGATGTCTAGAATGTGTAGTGAACATGTGGGTCGTGAAGTATATTGTCGAGTCCGCCAAGTGGGGGCTTGTCGGGGATCGACATGGCTACAGAGATTGACGTGGTGAATGTGCCAAAGGAGCTTCAGACAAATGGCTCCGCTATACAGCATAAGTACAAATCGCGGGGGCCATCAGACAAAGGCTCTTGATGGCCAAGCCCACGCCTGCAGGCCCCATGACGGCGGCATTCTGACCGACAGCTGACTGCACTCTGCCGTCCTTGGGGAAGTCAACAACCGAGGTTCACGGCATTCAGCAACATGCAGTCACCAGAGGAATTCTTGGATCAGCTAGAAACCTTTTGCCTGGTGACTGGTGTCGGTGCCGAAAAAAGCTTAGTCACGTTGTGCCTGTTGCAATGGAGGGTAGCGCAAAGTTGTGGCTGTGCTTCGTCAAATTTTTCTCTTTTTGAGATGAGTTCAAGGCGTCTTTCATCACAGAATTTTCTTCGATTGACGCAAAGCAGCGCCTTGAACAAGAACTTGAGCTCTGCACTCAGCACCTGGAAGAGAACTTGAGGGAGTTCATCTACACAATTGCAGAGTACTATGGGAGGATTGGCAGCGAAGTGCTGGAATCTAAAAAGGTTGACCGTGTGTTGCGGAAAATGCACCCACATCTGCAAGGTTTCGAAGGGTAGGCCGTTTGCCAGTCTTGCGGAGCTGGCAAAAGCAGCAGGAGGCCTCATAAAGCGTTATTAGAGGCGGTTCCAGCACAAGCCATCAACACCTCCAGCCGATCTAGTTGCATGGCACCTTGCTTTCCAGTCAGCTGTAAATGTGACCAGCCTGTCGGGAGCGAGCCCTAGAGGAATCATGGCAGCGGCTGCCGCACCCTTCCAGTATCGGGCAGCAGAAGCTTACTGGCCATTGCGCGCCGCAGCAATACAGCCGTCCTACCACCGAGACCATTTACACAGGTCGTGCGCTTCTATTAGAAGGCCTCATTTCTCAGCACCGCCACAGTCGCAAGAATATCAACCGCTGGACTCCGGTGGAATTACCTGCCATCACTGCAGAGGTGTTGGTGACATTGCCCGCGAGTGCCCTTCGGGTCGGCGTAGCAGCCCGCTCCGCTGCTACCCATGCAACAGAATCGGACATATCCGCTCACAGTGCCATGAACGGGAGACAGTACCGTAAGAATATAACAACAACAACAACAACAACAACAAAAAAAAAAACGAGATGAAAAGTCGGTTCTCGTCTTATATACTGGTCATCAGCAGAAAAAAACTCGAAGTTTCACAACAATGGGCAGCTGATGTCAAAAGCCTCCATTGCCATCGTGAGCATCAGCAGCGGCGCCGTTGGGCAAGGCTAGGCAAGGCCAATAAAGTACTAGCAACGCCACTTTGCTTCGGTTATATTTGTTAGCCTGCTGTTCTCTTTTTTTTTTTATTTCCTTAAGAAACTCTTCTCAGTTGGCTCTGTCAAGTTTCCACAGAGGAGCCTGGGGTGGAGATTGTTCTTGTTTTTGTGTTTAGAGAAGTATTGGGAAGTGGTCACTCCCCATATGGGTTTTTAATTACTTCCCAGTTGAAATCAAGTAAAACTGATGGAGATATAATGCTAACATTGATTGATGAATAAGATTTTTTCGTGAGGCTGAAAACGTGGGTTCTTTTTTATTTAGTAAACATCTTCCCGTGGGAGAAAGAAAATGCTCAATAAGGCGGCCCCGTGCGTCGGTGGGAGAGTCGTCCCACAAGCTGCTGTGAGCATTAATATCGCCGAGCACGATGTAAGGCTCGCGTAACTCATCAATAAATGACTAAAATTCGTGTTTGTGTAGCTGGTAGTGTGGGGATATGTACACTCATACCTCGTTATAATGAAGATGAAAGGGAGCCACAACTATTTCGTTATATCTATTATTTCGTTACATCAATTATAACAGTTTGTGGCAATGAATGCTCAGATGGGCGCACACCTATAGGCATGCAAAGAAGGAAACCGCCTCGTGGCCCGATGTACCGCTACGTGACCACGCATGCGATGGAAAATAAACACAGTCGAATCTCATTAATTCGAACTTCCGGTTGATTTGAACTCACGCTGAGGTCCCGTCAAAGCAACGTTTATTCCAACGGGCGAAAACACCATGTAATTCCAACGCGCAAGCACTTATGACGGTTAATTCGAACATACCGCGCTTTGAAAATGCTCTCAGCACCATGCCCAATCCCGCGGCGGCACCTCTTAACGCTGCGCGCGAAGAAGGAAAAGAAGAAAAGGAAAGAAAAGACTGTGGCAGATTGTTTGTTCTCTCTCAAATGCTGATCTGCGACGCACCTGCGCCACGCTTCTCCCTTTCAGTCTCTGCACGTAGAGACTCTTTTCCTTTCAAGGCCGTGCGAGGAGAGACAGAAAAAAAAAAAAGAAAGCTGTCCCAGAGAGTCCTCCAGTCCCAGAGGGTAGCAGCGGAGACGTAGTCGTTGCCGTCGTCTTTAAGGCGCATAAGTGAGAGAGAAATCGCTTTGCACCGTGCCGCCCCTTCTCGGCCATGTGACCCGCTGAACGCTTCCTCAATCCTCTCTGCTGGCTGTGTGAAGAGGACGGCTCTCTCTGTCGTGCGTGGCGTGGCTGTAAGGTTGGTGTGGTAGTTTTGAAAGAGCCGCTCCGAACGAGCGTCGCAGTCCTCAGAAAACGATATACTTAAACACACTACAGTCGTTTTCTTTTATAGACTATTTGATTGACTAATTTAGTTCAGTATATCCATTTAACGGTCAATTTTACTTCGATGCAACGAGGTTTAAAATGTATGGTTCTCAATGGAGCTTTCAAGAGAAATTTCATTTACTTCGTTATATCTATTATTTCGTTATATCCCGTTACGTTATAATGAGGTTTGAGTGTATATTGTGTACACATTGGGCGCCAGTGTGGTGCACACGTATCACAAAGGAGTACGGCCTCTAGCATGGGTTTAGTCTTAGCAAGCCACAGGGCACGCGTTAATCGTCGCCATGGCAATAACACAGTACTGCTCAAGGTCACACACCAAAACACAGTACAGAGCCTAATGCAACAGGGGCGGCAGGAAATCAGATAGGCTTATCCAAGCCCCGGGCGAGAAGTACTACACAGGAGCACGTCTCCGTGGGCAAATTTGATCTACAAGGGCACCAGAACAAAGGGCTTGGTTGCTCGAGCGAGGGCAAAGGCGCTCACATTGGCTTCGAGAGGTACGGGTCGGCATGGTATGACAATGCACTAGGACACCGCACCGCTCTTCGGTTTAGTGCACGAAAGGAGGGGCGACAAAAGATAAGCGTTCGCCGCAGGCACAAGGCGTTGTTAGCGAAGTCCGAACGCGCCCCAAACAAAGGGAGCCGACGGCCGACGGACTGAAAATAAATGAGTGTTTACCCCATGTCGTCCCAGATGAATTCTCTCTAAATCCCGACGCGCGCACAAAACGACCAGAGAGACTTGGTGCACCGCGCCACAGTTGACATTAGCTTCCGGGTGAGAGGGGTTAAACACCACTCCTTGCTCTCCCAGCGAGGCAGACTGCGGAGGAGGGGAGTCATGTCGGGACATGAGAACGCAGAAAGAGGCGGCAAAGCCCGCGCAAAGGTGGCGGGCTAGCCCCAATTCTCGCAATATTGAACATATTGTGCTTAGTTTGTTTACAATAATAGCTCGAGCGGCAACTTCTTCCAGTGCAGTTCAGAGCAGAAAGTGTTGACATGCTACGTTTTTGCCAAGTATGATTGCAACACCACCAGATGATGCAACATCCTGGTGGTCCTTCTGAAATATATTGGCCGAGAAATTCGTGTGTTTAGGGTTTAGATGCAGCTCCTGAACACGCAGCACCTTTGGACAATGCTTGCTAAGAAGTTCCTGTATGTCATCGAGATTGCGTACGAGTCCTCTAGCATTCCATTATAATATGGCATTCATTTTGAATGAGTGCGTGTGCTGTGTGTTATTAAAGAAAAGCGATTCATTTTACAGAGCCTTTGGCAGGCCCTGTAATTGGAGTCTTTTTTGGAGTGGCTGAGGGGATCTCGCCGTTTTTTCGGTGCAGCATGCCCCGGTTATCCAGTGGTGTCCATTGCCTCTAGAGAGGCGCCGGACAGTCGCGTGTGTTGGGTAGGCTTCGTCACGACGGAGCCTTTGACCCCACCGGGACAGAGGTCTAGGCGATCTCGTTAGCTTGTGTGGTGCCCTGGCTGCTACCAGGGTTCACAGGGGCCTTCGGTGGAACCCTGTTCAAGGAGGGGATAACTGAAGCTGCTACCTCCGTGGGGGCATGTGGCATTTGCTCAGACATGCCACGCGTGGCACGAGGCATCCCCAAAAACTGCAGCGGTGGCGACCCCCCTCGCACCACTTCGACATATGATGTGTTCTCTCCATAATGTGGGGAAACACCCTGTTGCGCTTTTTAAAAGCTAATGTTCAGTTAGATTTTTGTTGTGATGATTTTTTTTCCCCTCTTCCAGGCCACGCGGTACCTAGAATATGCAGGATGGTGACAACCACAGTTGGCACAGTGCGTTTGGGAATTACAGTCATCATTGGCGGAACGTGCTGTGGTGCTGCACTTTGCGCATGTAAGCTGCCCTCAGCAGCTTTGAGTGCCATGGCCAAAGCGCTGGCACTTGAAGCAGCGCCGAAGGTTCGGAATGTGTGCTCTCACTGGCAGTTTGTGGTAACTTGTTACAATTTCAGTGGGAAATGTTGTGCATGCAAAAGTCAGTATAATGTGTTTCGTAGGAATTTCTTGGTTCTCTCTTCGTATTTTTACGCGCTGTATGTGGATGACATTCTCTTCTTTCCAGCCTACCAACAGTTCTTCGTCTGATAATTTCATGAGTTACGCTGTCTGATACGACACCCTTTACAGTGTTTAGAGTGCGGTGTGGGGTAATGGTGATTGAATGATCACTGAAAGCTGTAAAGTTGTGTAATCTCTGGTATTGTAGATGATCCTTAAGTTTGAGGAGCAGATCACCACTGGCAGTCTTGTTGGCTTTGTATCCCGTACCTAGCGGTTCCATGAGACACTTGTATACAAGGAAAGGTGACAAATTTCTGGTTCTCTTTTTTGTACTCTGGCATTGAATAACATGGCATTTGGGGAAGTTGTCTTGCTTAGTAGGCATCAGTTGAAAGATTACATCGGTGCACCACCTCTTCGAGGGGCGATCGATTGTGAAAGCGTTAGGGGATCCCATGAAATGTGTTGATTATTCGGCAGCCACGCCAGCCACCCACCATGGAGCCCAATGAGGGGAGGCTACGCGACATGGTGGAAACGTAGGCGCCAGCTGTACATGGCTGCTATAACCGAATATAACTACCCAAGGTTGGGCAACTGCACAGGGTTAATCCTCACCGCCAGGAAATGTAGAAGTAAACAGCCTACTTTCATATGATCAACCCGAGCTTCCAAAATCAAGTGGATTGTCTAAAAGAAGCTGGCTATACAAATTCGCTTTTTGTTTATGTGGCAGAAACCATACATAAGAAAAAAAAAAGCCCAGGAGTGAGGAGAGTGCTGATCACAGGGATATAAGCAAACACGACAGAGTTGTGGTGATTCCTCACGTGCACCAGCTATCACACCGGATGAAAAAGGCTGGCTAATGCATGGGCATGCAGGTTGTTTTTTCCACACCTCACAAATTTTCCCAACTTGCCAAACTGACATGTGCAGGCCCAAAGGCTCCTGCAATGTCAAGGACAAGTCCCAGTTTGTCCAATGCGACACAAACGCAGGGTATACAGAATTCCGCTATCATGTGTTCCGTGCTACATCGGGCAGACTGGAAGGTGCCTCAATGAGCGCCTGTGTGAACACGCATGAAATGTTCGCAATGGCAATGAGGGTTTTTTCGCTCAGTGTGTCAGCAGGTGTGGTTGTCATGCACAGTTCGAAAATACAGCATAAGCACAAAGATGATTACACCCGGATGATTATTGAAGGAGATGGTGCGAGAACCTGACAACTGCGTGAGCAAACCATCGCTTGCTCTCCTAGATAGAGAGCTTCAGAACTGCCTGCCAAATGGCGCATGTGGGTAATGAATCTGCTATTCTGCCTCGTGCTTTGGGTGTATGAATTTCGTTGTTTCTTGAAATTCTAACTTTTCTTCCTCTCTTCCTTTTCTGTTTGTCATACAGTTAAACCATTTTATAGGAGGCGTGCTCCAGGCAACAATTCTTGTCTTTTATACAAAATGTCTCTTATTAGCAGGGTACCTCACATGCATTTTCTTATCCCTCGTATTTTACTGTATGCATACTGCTCTTTCTTATACCCATTTTTCTCTTATATCAGTGTTTTTTACAAAGTGGTTAGACTGTATATATATCCAGAGCATGATAAATAAATCTCCAGTTCATAATCTAGGCTTGTCCTTGTCTTCTTTCCATCAGTGTTTTGTACCGTGCAGTATACATTGATCATGAGCTTAATTTAAATATGTTCATTCCATTACTCCCTGCATAGTACTAGTCAGCTACTTCCAGTACAGGTAAACTCCCATCCATCACCGCAGTGCTCACCACGAGTTCGCGCTTGGGGGGCTCTGCCCTCTCGATGTGCGGGCTGACGCCTGGCTTGAGCTGCAGCTGGTAGGCACAGCCGGGCAGGAGTCCGCGCAGCCGGAAGGCGCCTTCGTTGTCACTCAGGGCTTCCTCCTGATGTCCCTGGCAGGTGCCGGTGCCAAGCGCTTCGAGGGAGACACCTGGCTCGGCTTCGCCCGTCACTGAACTCACCACTCCCAGGCAGCTAAATGCCACGCGGTCGCCCCTGCAACCACCACATTTTCTCAACCTGATGGTGTATTTACACATATGAGCTGTACTTAGATTGCCATTGGCATGTTTCTTGGCACACATGCATGCTGCTCCATTTTCTGTGTGTGTGCAGGTGCACATATATATGAGAGTAAACACCTTGCCCTCTTGTCCCACTTTGCGCTTTGTCTTTCGTGAAACAGTTTTCGTAACAAAAGTCCGCTGCCTAGCACAGCTACCCATTCTGTTAGATGGTTAGCGCAGACCACCATCCTGTTTGCTTTAAGTAGTGTTTGGGTGCTGCTGAGAGCTCCAACAATGAATAGAAGTTAAAAAGGCAGAATAGGCCCCACATATGTAATCGAAATTACAATTGTCAGTCATTTCCACCACGACTAAGAAAATAGTCTCACTCATAAGCCGCCAGCATAGTTGTCAGCCACCCAACTCGCTAGTGCATCACTCTAGAGTGCACACACTCACTAGTGCAGGCTTTGACACAAATACACAACTCAGTGGTTTCATTTTCTTCTAATAGTTTGACTTTTACGTAAACATTCAGCACTGAAAATTGAGTGTGCCCCTTGCTTGTCATCTCTGTCATTTCTAGGTTAGTTTTTACACTTTTAACACAATGAGAGATGGAGCATGATGTTATTACAAAAAGGGAGCCATGCACTGTAAAAATATTCGGTAGTCATATAAGGCGTATTAGGTAAGTTATGGTAAGACATGTCACTTGATCCAGTAGGGATTTGCCGCCTGTGGTTGGTTGTCTGCAGCTGCTTGTGAAAAGAAGCCGATTGCACTTGACAAACTCAATTCGAATCAAAAAGCTTGCTTAACACCACCCATTGGAACTTCGTTAATATGGACAATGAAACGAGAATGAGCCTTGGAATTTATTACTACTTCTTGTATAGTTTGACTCTTCAGATACGGTCGAGCCCACATATAACGGCCCCAGTTAAAACGAACTTTCGCCTAAAACGAACAGTATCCGCGTGACCGTGAAAATATACATCAGTTCAATGGCACAAAATCGCACTTACAACGAACGTCTCTGAGCGCCGCTGATCGGTTACAGCGAACGGAGTCAGCAGTCTGCTGACTTCCCGGGAAACCACTTTCGACTACCGATAAGGCATCGGCGAGGTGCTCATATTTTCTTATTGTTAAATGCAGACCCTGCCTCCGCGACCCTCCAGTTGCCGCTCTCACCGACACATGGTGAAAGGAAAGCTGTTTTCTTCCTCCATGCCCAGACAGCTTTTAATGACTTTTTTGGGGACCTTTGACGAAAAAATTTTGGTCTATCTGTCTGTCCATTTGACTGTTTGTCCACTTTTAACGGTACCGGGCACTTTAAATGGCACCAGCAAACGCCCAAACGACCCAAACCCAAACGACCCCAAACGACCGACGCCATCTGCAGCATCCACCAATGTTTCTCAAAATTCAGCATTCATACTTGTGCGATTGTCTATTAAAAAGCAATCATCGCACATATCTGAGGCAACATAACAACACGTATATATTCTGTGTGTACGTCTTTTACTAGAAAAGACATACATAAGTTATTCTAAGGACTGTAGAGTTTACCATGCGGCGCTGACCATTCAACGCTTGCACGAAAAGGGAAGTATTTCCAACGCCTTGCTAAGACAACACGATGATGGCACCTACCTGTCGCCTTGCGTTCTACACCTTATCACCTCTGAGACTCTCAAAGCCGCAGATTTTGTTTTCCAAGATAACTGCCAGATAGCGCTCATGTCTCATGTGTGACGTGACTTGGTGCGCTTATTCACCTCCGCTGCATGCTTGAGGCACTCTAACGCAGTGCTTCCAGAATACCACTCACCAATTTTCTTGCACAGAACATCAAATAAACGTTTTGTTCAATCTCTACAAACTTTACGCATATAGCAATAAAACTGTCGGTCATACCGCCCTCGACACGCAAGCCTACAAGAATTCATCAAGCTTAACCAACCAGACATCATTGCACTTCAGGAAACTAAAACGCAGAACGTACGACTGCAAGGGTACACGACCTGCGCACAAACCCAATGCACTGCCATACTTGTCAAGAAAGCACTTTCAACACAAAAACACGAAATCGAGGACACTCTGATAGAACATACCCTAATAGAGATTCTGCCGGAACGAAAGACGCAGCAAAGTCTTTTCATAACCAATATATACAGCCCCCCACGAGACCAACTACCAGACTTCAATCACTTCATACGAGAAATCAGGAAGCACACGAATGGCCACCAGATCATAATAATGGGAGACTTTAACGCCTCTCACACGGCATGGGGCTATCATATCACCACGAGGAAGGGTTCTAGGGGGCACGATACTGCTCAACATCACAGACTAACCCTGTGGAACGACCCTCTTCAGAAGACGAGAATCGGAAACAGCGTCTCCAGGGATACAAATCCCGATCTTACATTTAGGGCGAACGTCACTGGGGCAGAGTGGAGTGAGCTACCGGAAACTTTAGGTAGTGATCATCACATCATCCAACTCTCCGTAGCGCACACTCGTAAACAGACCAAGACTGGAATAGCGTGGTTAACGGAATGGCAATCCTTTAGGAATGACCTCGACGTTGAAACCACCATAATCGACATTGAAGACTGGTTTAAGAATGTGCTCGAGATAGCCGAACGCTACACTAAGGACATACAGCTTGACGTCGATACACCCGCCGTCGGCGCATATCTTCTCCACCTTTGGGAGGCTAGAAGAGGACTTCTAAAACAGTGGAAGCGACAAAAACTAAACAGAAAGTTACGGAAAAGCATTTCTCTCCTCACCGAGCAATCTCAAGATTATGCGAACCGATTGGCCAGGCAGAACTTTCACGCTTTCTGTGACAAGCTGCAGGGGACTCTGAGCACCAAGAAGACCTGGCATCTGCTACGCACACTTATAGCCACGCAACCCTCCAAAGCAGCACAGAAGCAGCACCTTCAGAGACTTATTCGAAACTACGCCGGTATAGAAGAACACCTCCTAAAAGAATTACAAAAGAAGCTCTGTGGCGATGCACCCACTGGGGCTTCAATTCACACCAAAGAATACGCTGGCGCACCAAACACTGAACTCGACCGGCCCTTCAGCCTGGCTGAACTGCGCACAGCCCTAACGAAGTTGACAAGAAATACCAGCTCGGGAATAGACAGGATTGTCAACAAGCACTTACGCAACCTACCGCACCAGGCCACCACGGCTCTTCTACGATATTACAATGACTGCTGGAATAAAGGAGAGCTAGCTGCTGTATGGAAGCACTCGGAAATCACCATGATCCCTAAGCCTAACAAACCAGTCGGCATCGAGAACCTACGCCCGATTTCTCTCACCTCGTGCGTGGGAAAGCTGTTCGAACACATGGTGCACGACCGTTTAACCCAGTACCTGGAAGATAGTGGACACCTACCGGACACCATGTTTGGCTTCAGGTAGCATCTTTCGACGCACAACGTGCTCTTACTACTCAAAGAAGAGCTCCTTGATCACCTCACCCATCGAAGAAAGTACATACTCGGAGTCGACGTCAAGGCGACCTTCGATAACGTCAGCCACGACGCGATCCTCAACAACCTCGAAGGCGTTGGCTGCGGCATTAAAACCTACACGTATGTCAGAAACTTTCTGGCAGACCGTACGGCAACTGTGGGCATACGCAACATCCGCAGCAAAAGCTTCCAACTACCGAAAAAAGAACGCCGTAGGGTTCGGTCATCTCTCCGTTACTTTTCAATGTGGCTATGACCAATCTGTCAAAAATTCTCTACAAAATACCAGATTTACGGCACGCGATCTATGCTGATGACATCACGCTCTGTACCAGGGCTTCGAACACTGGGAGACAAGAGACTTGCCTACAAACCGCCGTAGATGCCATCGAACGGTATCTCAGAAACTGCGGTCTCTGCTGTGCCCCAGAGAAATTCAAGCACCTCGTCCTCAAAGCGAGAACAAGAGGCAGACCCCCTCTATACGACGAGCCTGACCCTAGCGTAACGCTGAAAGGGACCTTAATTCCAAAAGTCGAGACCCTGCGAGTGCTTGGAGTTCACATCTACAAGGATGGATCAGTAGCTGCCACCATACCGAGACTCCAACGGACACTATCACAACTCACACACCTCGTCAAGAGGATCGCGAATCAACGAAACGGACTCAAAGAGCACGACACGCTACGTATAATGCAAGCTCTGTTCACCAGCCACATTACGTACGGCACGCCGTACCTGAATTTGAAAACCACTGAAATTGAAAAACTTAATATTAAGATAAGAAAGGCAACTAAAGTAGCCATGGGAATTACGCCAATGGCCTTTACCACACGTCTCCTAAAGATGGGCGTCCACAACACATGGCAAGAGCTCATCAAGTGCATAGGAACAGTCAGCTGGAGAGGCTCATGCTGACGCCCACGGGGAGGTCGGTGCTCCGGTACCTCAACTACAGCGACACGTTCATCGCCGATGCAGACCAGAAAAAGCGCATCCCGCTGAACATTAGAGAGTCGCTGTACATCGCACTTATTCCACGCAACATGCATCCTACTTTCCACAAAAGTAGATGCAAGGCTAGAGCTAACGCTATTCGACGAAAGTTCAAGCAAGACCCGGACGCCCACTACACTGACGCGGGCAAGTATCCGCATAGAAACGCGTCCGCTTTCAGCGTCGTCGATTGTCAAGGCCGAGAATTAGCGTCGGCCACGGTCAACGCACTCAATTCAGACGCCGCAGAAGAATCGGCAATCACTCAAGCAACCACAACATGTACAGATGCCGCGGTGATTTTCATTGACTCACAAGCCGCCTGCAGGAATTTCGCTAAGGGCCGTATCTCAGCCAATGCCATCAATATTTCGAAATGGCGAAGCACTCCACTCCCGTACACTTGTGTATTATGGGTGCCAGGACACGAGGGTCTGCAGGGAAATGAAGCGGCCCACGCCGCTGCCCGCGAGCCCGTCAGCCGGGCTGCCCCCTGTCCACAGGACATCCGTACCGTCGTTGAAGAGACGGAAGTTGTTCAAAACACCTACTCATCGTTACTCCAGCATTACAGGCCACCACATCCTTCGCAACACCCAAAACTGACAAAAGAAGAAAGCGTGATACTGAGACGCCTGCAAAGCAGCACATACACACATGGGGCCCTAATGCACCGTCTCTACCCAACGAGATGTAGCTCTATGTGCCTGCTTTGCAACGTACCGGACACCCTGGCGCACTTGCTTCTTGCATGCCAGTGTATTGCCAGAAGTAATCTGCAACAACACACGACTTATAACGAAGCAGGACGGACGAACGAAGACCTAACCGAAACGTGGGAGGCGAAGCTCGTCCTCGAGGACCTGGAAGACCAACAACAACTCGTCGCCAGGGCCAAGAGGGCAGTAGAAGCCAGAGGGTTCCTGGACTAAGGAGCCCTCCTACCTCAGGGTGATACCGGGCATTGCTCGGAACACTGTTTCAAAATAAACGTTTACTTCTCTCTTCTCTCTCTCTCTCAATCTCTACAGGTGCAAGACTATCGTCTTTCGACGACATTTGCAGATGAACACGTAGATATGGGGACAATTTTTTGTTACGCACCCCTCCGTCCTTTGTCCCCCGCTACTCTGAGCAACCCGCATCGCCAGACGAGGCTTGTGTTTTCACTCTGCCACCAACCTTTGGAAGACCGGTCAGCCATCTACCCTGTTTTTGATCGCTGGTGCTGTCGTTGGCATCACCGGCCTGGAGTGACCAGACCATTTGCCACGGCCACCAACTGTATCCGATAGTCTGCGTCTAGTAATCGTGAGTACGCTACGCCACTGACTTTGATGATTTGCGATTCGTTTCGTGTTTAGGACTTGTTCTTGCTCACTTCCCACTCAGCTCAGCATGCCTTTCACGTGCGTGCGGAAGCGTGAAAAGGGCTGTTAATTTGCACGGAACGAATAGCGAAATATCGAAGTTCGTGAGGCCACGCAAACCCACCGGCACAACAATACGATTTTCTGACCACTGCCGCCGATTCTTCGAACACCGCGTGTACCGATCCAGGCGGCTATGCTTTGACATCTGCACGTGCAAGCACTCTTTTCAAGGTTGTCTACGTGCGAGTTTCGCGGACCTTTCAAGCAAGCTACCCACTTGCCTCCTTCCCGTGTTTTTTGGTTTTCAAGGTCGTTCTCCCGCCGCATCTTCCCCTTTTTATCACAACTCCCTGCCCTTCTCTCGCAAGTCTGCTCTCCTCTCTTGATCACAACCCCTTCGCCCGTCTCCATCGCTTCGCAACGCCCGCCCCGCTGGCTCGAATTAGTTTAGTTTTCTGACTGGAAATGGGCCCAGAGCTGTTCCACGCGTTCTGGTATGTGTGTCGCGTGTGCGCGTCTTGCTTCGCTTTTGGTGTGCGTGTGTGGTCAGGATGGCGGAAGGGAGGCCTTGCACACTTTTCCTGTCGCTCAACAAAACATCGAAAGTATGACCGCTTGGCTTGAGCATAATCTGTGCCTTAGGTGCCGCGTTGTGTAGCGCTTGCTCATAGCTGTTGACCACCTGGCAGCCAACTTGCAGCTTCGGACGTTTGGTATTCAGCTGTAGAGATGGTGAATATTTCGTGGGCGGTGGCTACATGCGCGCAAAACTGATTTCGCGAGGCCGACTCCATCGACATCGGGCCCAATGACAAGCCTGAAGCTTCCGAACTGCGGCGGCGATTTGCGGTAGCGCATCATCAACTCCGACCTGGGAGAGCGGGTGGTACATCTGTTGCGACAATTTAATTACGGCCGATGATAATGCCAACACTGTGGAACCGTGCACGGATTGGGGCATTGTGAATGAAGTACGTGGCGAGAGCTTTTTAAAGCAATTGGATTGCGAGAAGGAGGAAACTTTGGAGCCAGTGCTTCATGCAGCTTATGCCACGGGCTCGGCGTACGAACACCCTGCAGTTTTAAATGAACTCAAGACCACCCTTATCGCTTCTGCTCTTCGAAACACGTGCATCACGGACTTTTGGGGCCAAAAAAAGTTGCAACTTTTTTTAAAAGCTATGTTTCATTTACTACGAACTTCCGGATACAGCGAATGAATGCCGCGTCCCGCTCAGGTTCGTTATAAGCGGGCTTGACTGTATACCTTTAAAACGAACTTATTTTTGTGTAAAATGCAACTTCGTTATAATGAGGTCTGAGTGCATCAGAATGAAAATCAGAAAGGTTTTTATTTTCAAACAAAACTGTTGGGGGTCCGTCAGGCGAAAAGCTGCATCATACAGCTTGAATGAGCCCGAAGGGCCTCCCATGGCAGCAGTAACGTCAAAATTAGCATTCATAGAAGTTGTAAGTATATATTAAGGAAAAAAAAATCCACAATTTCAATGGAATTGAAAAAAAAGGAACATACTGAATAACGCTTACAAACATGGTATTCATAAAAATACAAATCTAATGCATTTAGAAAGAGAAAATGTCTTAATGCACTCCTATACATAAAAACAGTGGAAGTAACAACATAAAGAAAATGACTTGTACAAACATGGCTGTGATGCATAATGGTATAATACAGTGTTTATCAAAACACAAGACAAGTGTGAAAAACTGTGACAATTGTTACTTCTTCGCATGTCAGCAGCATGCTCCTGTCGTAAACGCGGCCGTGGCAGCGAGTGAAGTGACCTTTGTGCGCTCCCGAATCACAAGTCTGCTAAGCCCGCGCGCAGGAAGGACTACACTCTGTGGAGGCCGCGGTCTCCGAAACGTCGGAGGCAACAAGCTTTAGAGCGCGCCCAATGCAGCCAGCACGAGCTCGTCGTGCCATCTCGCAACTGATGACAAGAATTCGATAAGCTTTGGAACTCCAAGGGCCACTAAATGATACATGGCATTTTTGAACAACTTGCCATTAGCACGTATGTCAACGTATGCTTTGTGGTCTAGTGGTTAGTGCCGCGCGCAGCAGATTGGGAGGTTGTTGGTTCAACGCTCCATGTCAGCATCTTTCCTTCTTGTTTTTTTTTCCTTCACAATCTGTTTGTACATATTTTAAGTCATATCCGTGATGGAAACACGTCAGTGGAGCCGTGGTCGCCTCAATGTAAAACACTTATTCCAAGTAGTCGTAGAAAGGATTCACTCAAGCAGCCTGTTGCGGCAAGAATTCGCCGCCGCAAAAATTTTTAGAATCTGTGCAGTACAAGCACAGTCACAAAGATTGCATTCTCTCTTCTCTTGTCCTGATGATAGCACCCGATGCTAAGAAGAAAAGGGTGCAACGAGGGAAGAAAATAAGTAAAGCGCACCTCATGACTGAGCACTATATTTTTTCCTTCAAATGCACAAGTTTTCAGAGCGGTCGCCCGTGCACACGTGGGAAAGTCACGACCTTCCAAGGCAGCCCCAGTAACAACCGAGTAGGCCATGCTCAAATCGGCCAATAGCTGATACTTGGATTGGGATGCAGTAATTTCGGCCCTGTAGCATTATTTGTCGAGATAAGAGAAAGCAATTTTTAGCCGACTGAGAACTCATTGCAAATTCTAGGCTGCGCGCTGCGCAATATTATTTGGATCGCATCTTTTTTAAAGTCGCGACTACCGATCAGCAGTATTTTCTGACCATGCTCAAGAAATGTTGCAGGGCCCCTTTAACACTCCTGAGCAGTTTTACTCGGAGACAGCAATAGCAGTGACGAACAGCCAATCACACACTTATTCACCCTTGCCTTTGACATTAACTCTCACTGGGTTCTGCTATTCTGAAAGCTATTTCAAGGCAGACAAGGTGCCAACATGAGCAGTTCATGAGGAAAGCAAACTTTATTACTCACGTGATGTCCAACTCGACAGTGGCACCTTCCCCAACAGTGAGCATCTTAGAGGCAGGTGAAAAGCGGTACTCCTTCATCATGGGTCGAAGGAAGTAATTGCCAGGGCTGAGGTTCGGGAAGCGGAGCCGGCCGTCCTCGCGCGTCCGGCTGTGGTTGCGATAGTCGGCAGCTCCACTCAGGGATACCAAGACACCCGACAGGGGCTGCCCACTGGATTCTGACACCGTCACCTTCACCTCAGCATACTTGAAGGCCTCGAAATGGCCGAGCTTGTCCAGTGGCCGCAACACGTAGCCGTCCTTGCTTGCCTGCGAGGTGGAAACAATGGGCGAGGTGTATATATGCAACGAAATCACGAGAAGATTATGAGGTGTGCCATACTGGGGCACTATGGATTAATTTTGGCCACTTGGGTTTGTTAACCTTTTCAACTCCAAGAAGGCAATTTAGGGTCAATTTATATCAAACTTCTCTATTTTGGTCTTGAGCGTAGAAGAACACCGAAAAAAATTATTTTGAATAAACTAAAAAAAGAAGGCAAGAGTACTATTTTTATATTATTTGAATTTAATTGATAGAAATTCATCTAATCTACACAGCTGTTAACTGCAATTTAGAACACATATTACGCATAAAAATTTCTTACAACATCATTAGAGAGAATTCAGCAATGTTGTAGCACATACTAGGCAAAATAAATTATGGAAAGCATTATTTACACACCACAAAGACGAGAAGGTTGACCCGTTTCTGGGAAAAACCATTTTCAAAACACGGTGAGCCACAGATGCTTCCTTTTTTTTTTGTTGCTGCAAGATGTGATGTGCTGCTTTTGGCTCCTGCAGAATCGAATGTTTTCCTTTGATGCACCGAATTGCCATTGTGCCGCCAGGTTGCCTTGCGCTTCAGCATACTCGACAACTTTTTTCTTAAAGCGTGTCATAAACTGCCATCGCCTACCACTCATTTCTGAAGAAAATGCAAAAGGAAACAGCAGATTGACAGCATATAACCAAGGCAAAATGACGTTGCTAAAACACTGTAGGCCTTGTCTAGCCTTGCCCAACGGCGCCGCTGCTGATGCTCACAATGGCAATGAAGCCTTTTGACTTCACCTGCCCATTGTTGCAAGACTTCCACACTTTTTTCTCCCAATGACTGGTATATAAGACAAAGGTCGACTTTCCATTGCTCTAAAAAATAAATCGATCGATATTCCGGTTTTTACAGTATAACAGCGACATGCGTCAACCAATGCGGACAGTGCCAGCATGTGGTAGTGTGTGCCACATGCAGTCCACTGTGGCCAACGATACCCAAGAAAGTTGCATGGGCTACCGGTGTGAAGTGGCCTGTGTCCTTCTCCTTCCCTTTTAAAAATGTGACACTCCTTACGCCGTGGGTTGTGCATCTGCGATGTATGTAATAGTATTAGTAGTAGTAGTAGTAGGTAGCCTTCCCTTGTTTAGTCAGTCCTTGGAATGTCCGCTGGATGGTGGTACTTGTATATGATGAATATATGATGAAAAGATGCGAGATGCCGGCACATGGAGCATTGATTACACGGACGGAAGGAAAAAGAGACACGGACGCACGGATAAACGAACAGAAGGAAGAATGAACTGACGGACGCTTCACCTTGCTCATCCTCATACACTTCGTGCAAATGATGTGATATTATTACCACATATGTAAGTTAGGTATCTGCACCTGTAGAGCGGAACAGGGTGGTGGCAGAAGAAGAGGAACAGAGTGGTGGAGGTGCAGGGTACAGCACGTCAACGTACCATGGAGCCACATCTGTTCGGAGTTCGCCGAAGCTGTCGTCTTGCCAGTTTGCCAGGGCCCAGAGCAAAGGCCAGAAATCAACCGCCCCAACCACGTGCAGGTCTACGTCGGCTACACATAGGCATCACAACATGGAACCCCGCCCGTTCGCGGGAATGGCAGGAGAAGATGTGGACGCGTGGCTAACGCATTACAAAAGGGTGAGACGGTACAACCACTAGAACTATATTGATCAACTAGACAACGTCGCATTGTTTTTCACGGATATCGCCTTCATGTGGTACGAAAACCACGAAGAGTCCTTGACAACATGGGCTCTTTTTGCTCAAGAACTGAAGTGCTTTGGTGACTCTGATTCAAAAAAGAATAGCACCGAGCGGCCTCCTGCTCAAAGAGCTCAGACTCTGGGAGAAACCTGCACTACTTATATACTGGACGTTTTTAAGCTTTGCAGGATTACAAACCCGCAGATGTCTGAAGAAGACAAGGTTGGACACTTCTTGAAGGGTATAGCGGAAGACCTTTACAATTTTATGATAGGTAGAGATGACCTCATCTCTGTCTCCTATGTCCAACATCACTGCCATACGCTTGAAAAACTGAAGACTCAACGCATTGCCCCGAAATTTGATAGGCTGGCAAATGTGATAATGGTCGCCAGTGCCTACGTGAGCCCGCCTAGCGACCTTGCCTCTTCTATTTGGGCAATAGTGCAAGAAGAGCTGCAGCAACAAGATGGTTGAGTTGACGACACCGTTCCTCAGCCGCCTACTAGTCCACCCTACTACACGGCGCCATTAGCTCTTTTGCCACCATCGGTATGTGTGACAGACATTATTTAAACTAGAACTTCGTGGCCACGTCATGACTCATCCGCGTCCGACCAGTGATATGGCCAACGCCTTCTTCACGGCCCCACCACAAAAAGGCCAGCAGCCCCTGCTCAGCAAGCTCATCGATGACCCTCCTCAGCTGAGCGATCTTAGCATTGGTTCGGCGAGCGTCCCCTACCAGTCTCCTACAACTGTGACTTCGAAGGCCACATTGCCAGGTATTGCAACTACCGGCAGCCGGTGAGGTATGAACGATCGCCGAGATATAACGGTTCTAACGTTACACGAGCACCGACATTCCTGGGAAACGTGTCTTGCGAGATCCCAGGACCACTATGAAACCAATCTCCGGCCTCTGACCGCAGTGTGACACCACCGCCTGCCCCTCGCGCCAGCCGATTACAGTCTCCTCGGCGGCGCCACTCCTCGTCTCCTACGGAAAACTAGCCGGCACGGCCATTGGAGGTGAGGTCACTGGACAGTCTTCGATTTCAACAGATATACCTCCGTTACCTTCCATGTTTAGAAATAAGGTTTGAGTGCTTATCGGTGGTGTACCAACAATGGCGTCGGTAGACACAGGTGCACATACCTATGCGTAAGCAAGTCGGTCGCTCAGCAAGTCCGAGCGTAACTACACTGTCACAGAGCAAGAATGCCTTGCAGTGGTCTTCGCAGTGCAGCGCTTCCGGTCCTACCTGTACGGACGCCTTTTTACCGTCGTGACAGACCATCATTCTCTCTGCTGGTTGGTCAATCTGTGTGACCCACCTGGTCGGCTGGCACGCTGGGCACTTCGTCTACAAGAATATGACTTCACGGTTTCCTATAAAAGCAGCTGACGTCACGTTGACGCAGATTGTCTTTCGTGGCTACCGCTTCCAACGATGGAATGCGACACGGACACCTTCGATAACTACATTGCATTACTCGACCAACTATTTCCCGATAACAAGACCTTTAAGGATGAGCAACAAAGGAACAGCACCATACAACAGTTTCTTGCTACCAAACCAAAATCATCGCCTACGTGCTTCTGCATCCGAGACGGGCTAGTTTACAAAAAGAACTAAAACCAACACTGGCTCACGATATCTTCTGGTGGTTCTGAAGAGTCTTCGCGTTTATATCTTGCAGGCTATGCATGATGACCCAACATCCGGTCATCTAGGCACAGCGAAAACTCTTTGCCGACTTCAAGAAACATTCTACTGGCCCAAAATGCGCCAGACGACGGAACAATACGTGTCTAGCTGTAACGAGTGTCAACGTCATAAGCGCCCAACAAGTGCTCCTTTAGGGCGATTACATCCGGTGCCGCCCCCTAGAACTCCTTTCGAGCAAGTCGAAATTGACCTTCTTGGGCCCTTTCCCCGGTCTTCCGATGGAAATCGCTGGATAGTCGTCTGCACACACCATTTAACACGGCACTGCGAGACAGCTGTTATATCATCGGCAACTGCAGCCGACAAGTCTTTCTTCATGCTAAGTTTTGTAATACTACAACATGGACCTGCAAAAATTATAATCGGTGACTGTGGGCGACAATTCACAGCAGACGTGGTGGAAGAGATGCTTCATGTCTGCGCTTCAAGGTTTCAGCACTCTACACCATATCATCTCTGAACGAATGGTCTAACTAAATGAACAAACAGAACTCTCATGAACATGTTGTCTATGTATGTCGCATCAGATCACAAGGACTGGGACAGTATTATACCTTTTATCAATTATGCATTCAACACCGCACAGCATAAAACTACCGGCTACAGTCCTTTCTTACTTCTACATGTCCGACCGCCTTGTCATACCCTGAGTACCATCTTCTCAAGTTTGGACTACAATGATCCCTGCATATTCGAGATCATTTGTTGTGCAGAAGAAGCCAGATGACTTGCTTATTTGCGCACCCTCCGCTTGAAGGCACATTTCAACCACCGACGCCGACATGTGGTGAACAATTGCGGCGACCTAGTGTTGCTGTGGACACCGACTAGAAAATGTGGTTTGTGCGAGAAACTGCTAGCGCACTATGCGGGACCTTTTCTTGTTCTAAACCTTATCAGTGATTTAGTTTACCGCATAGCGCGTCTCCATTCGAACGGCCAACGGTCTGCAAAAACTGAACTTGCCCATGTTGGGCGTTTGAAGCGCTTTATTCCTCGAGATACTGTTTGGCTTGCCCATTGGGCTTCGTCTGCGTGGAGGGAAATGTTACCTCATATGTAATTAAGGTATGTGCATCTGTGTAGTGGGAAACAGGGAGGTGGCAGAAGAGGACATTCGGCTTGTGGCAAGAGGTTTCTGGTGTGGGTTCACTGGATACCTAGGAGTCGGCCGTTCCGTTGCCTCTGAATACCCCCCCCCCCCCCTCTCATAGACGTAACAATATTTCTTCTAAGGGGAAAAGGCAGTATGAGACCAGCGTCCATGATTGCACCAATCGTAGGTAGGAGAGGTGAACAATGATCGTGGGTGGGCTTGTGGCATGTGGTTAGCAGCCTGTGGTAGGAGGTAATTGCGGCTGAGGCACGGTGGAGTAAACATGGTTCTTGAGTTGTCTGCGTCTCTTCCCTGAAGGGTTCTGGGCTAGCCGCAGCCCAAATCCTATCTACATATCACCGTAAATGTATGCTTGATAGACACATTGCACAATGTTGCACTTTTGCGTGGTATTTTTAAAGGGG